ATCTGGAAAGACATCCTGGATATTTGTAGATAAAGCTCCCAGGACAAGCCAAGCAGTTTCTTAAAAAGTGGGCTTGGGAGAGCCAACCTGTGCTTCAGGGCACCAGAAGCAGCAGGTGCAGTCATGGCAGATCTTGGAGCAGATACAGAGAATCACAGGAAGTCCACCCTGGGACAAACACAGCTCCGGAGAACTAAAGGGATATACGAACAGTTGAGAACTTACTGTATGAACAAAACGCATTTTCAGTGTATCTAAGTTCCCAACTTTAAAAACTTTTGAAAGGAAAATGGCCATAGCAGAAATAAAAGATGAAGCTGGGTCGATAAGGTAAGATGCAGTCTCTTCCTACACACTGGGGGGTAGAGGAGGCATACAGATTTAAAACAAATCTAAGAACCTAAGTGCCTATCCACGGATGAATGGATAAACAAAATGTAGTACATAATACAATGGAATACTACACAGCCATAAAGAATGATGAGTCCTTGGGACATCTTATAACATGGATGAATCTGGAGGACATTATGCTAAGTGAAAATAAGTCAATCACAAAAGGACAAATATTGTATGATTGCACTTTCATAGAAAGACAAGAATAGGTATATACACAGAGACCAATGCTCGTTGGTGGTTACCAAGGAGGGTGGGGGGAGTCACTCTCTAGATAGTAAACACTTGTTATTTTTGATGATGAGAAATACCAAATGTAGGTGAACTATACACAGCTTGACCAAGGTAAATGATGTCACTAAGATGCATACGAGAAAAAAGGACCTTTTAGTAATTGCTAGGGCATACACAGGAAACTCTGGTGGCATAGTGGTTAAGAGCTATGGCTGCTAACAAAAAGGTTGGCAGTTTGAATTCACCAGGCACCCCTGGGAAACTCTACGGGGCAGTTTTACTTTGTCCTGTAGGGTTGCTATGAGTTGGAATCGATTCGACAGCAGTAGGTTTGGTTTTCTGGTTTTAGGGCATATATAATTTTGCAACAACAACCAAAAATTATATGTGTAGGTATATATGTATGTATGAATGCAAATATGTGTACAGGTACGTTTATGTGTGTGTATGCAGGTGTATGTATATGCATGTGTATACATTCATATATATAATAAAGCACATGGGGGCACAGTTACAGATACTTTTTAGACATAATCAAACACCCCACCGGATTGGTTTTTTTTGGCTTGGATGTTTAGGATCACAGTCTTGCAGGACAACTCGGTCAACCGGCATAATACAGTTTATAAAGTTTGTGTTCTACTACATCTAAGACTGGTGAGTAGTGTCTCAGGTCTTAAAAGTTTGCAAGTGGCCATCTAAGTACAACTACTGATCTCTACTCATCCAGAACAAAAGAGAAAGGAGTAAATTCAAGACTCAGAGAAAAAACTAGTCTACAGGACTGTCTGCATGAACCATGGCCTCATCTACCCTGAGAAGTTACCACTATCGATCGTTCTGCAATAGATAGATTTTGGTAGAATGGGAAAAAAAAGTTGAACAAAACCTCAAATTCTTAAAAAATCTAGAATTACTGGACTGGTTAAGATTAGAGGACTCCCTGAGACTACTGCCCTGAGATACCCTTTAAACCTTACACAGAAACTATCCCCCATGAGGTCACCTTTTAGCTAAATAACAGACTGGCTCACAAAATAACGAATATCATCTGTGAGTACTGAGCTCCTTTAAAAAATCACCTATATGAGACCAAACAGTCAACAATTACTTCAAAAAAAGATGAGAATGTAAGGGGTCAGGGACACTAGATTACTGGAAACAAAACAACCAGAACAGAAATGAGAATGTTCACACACGGTGAAGAATGTAACCAATTTTACTGAACACTCTATGTAGACATTTGTGAATGGAAACCTAATCTGCTGTGTAAACTTTTGCCGAAAACACAATTATACACACCAACATCCCTGCCCTCATGGAGCTCATAGTTTAGCGAGTGAGTCATGTATATAAATAGGGGGGTTGGAAAACAGACCTCTAAAAAAGTAAAGACATTGCAAGCTAAGGAGGAAAGCTATTTATAAGCCCTTAAAAAATAGGCAGTTATGAACTCTTATTCAACATTGTGCTGGAGGTCCTAGTGAGAGCAATTAGGATAGAAAAAGAAACAAAGGGCATCCAAATTGTTAGGGAAGAAGTAAAAGTACCTCTATTTGCAGATGATATGATCTTATACACAGAAAACCCCAAAGAGTCCACAAGAAAACTACCGAACTAATAGAGGATTTCAGCAAAGTTTCAGGATACAACATAAACATACAAAAATCAGTGGAATTCTTTTACACCAATGAAAAGAACTTGGAAAAGGAACTCACCAATCAACACCACTTACAATAGCCCCCAAGAAGATCAAATACTTAGGAATAAATCTAACCAGAGACGTAAAAGACCTATAAAATGAAAACTACAAGACACTACTGCAAGAAACCAAAAGACACCTGCATTAAGTGGAAAAACATACCTTGCTCACGGATAGGAAGACTCAACATTGTGAAAATGTCTATTCTACCCAAAGCAATCTACAGATACAATGCACTCCCAATCCAAATTCCAACGGAATTTTTTAATGAGATGGAGAAACAAATCACCAACTTCATACGGAAAGGGAAAAGGCCCCAGATAAGTAAAGCATTACTCAAGAAGAAGAACAAAGTGGGAGGCCTCACACTACCTGATTTTAGAATCTATTATACTGCCACAGTAGTCAAAAAGCCTGGTACTGGTACAACAACAGAGACATAGACCAATGGAACAGAATTGACAATCAAGACACAAATTCATCCCACCTATGAGCAGGTGATATTTGACAAAGGCCCAAAGTCCATTAAATGGGGAAAAGATAGTCTCTTTAACAAATGGTGCTGGCATAACTGAATATCCATCAGCAAAAAACTCAAACAAGACCCATACCTCACACCATGTACAAAAAATAACTCAAAATGGATCAAAGACTTAAATATAAAATTAAAAATGATAAAGATCATGGAAAAAAGAATAGGGACAATGCTAGGAGCCCTAATACATGGCATAAACACAATACGAACCGTAACAATGCATAAGCACCAGAAGAGAGACGAGTAATTGGGAGCTCCTAAAAATCAAACACTTATGCTCATCAAAAGATTTTACCAAAAGAGTAAAAAGACAACCTACAGACTGGGAACAAATTTTTGGCTATGGCAAATCCGATCAGCATCTAGTCTCTAAAATCTACAAGATACTGCAAAACCTCAACAACAAAAAGACAAATAATCCAATGAAAAAATGAGCAAAGGATATGAACAGGCACTTCACAAAAGAAGATATTTGGGCAGCTAACAGACACGTGAAGAAATGCTCGCGATCATTAGCCATTAGAGAAATGCAGATCAACACTACAATGAGATATCATCTCACCCCAACAAGGCTAGCATTAAACCAAAAAACACAAAGTAATAAATGCTGGAGAGGTTGTGGAGAGACTGGAACACTTATACACTGTTGGTG